TATTTGAATTGGATTTCACCTTATCGGTTGTGTTAGCGTACCATATAGAACTGAAATTATTCAACTAGATTTTAGCCTATGGTGCTGGAGAAGACCCCTGGGAGTCCCCTGGACTGCAAGGTGATCAAACTGGTCAGTCCTAGAGGAGATCAACCCCGACTGCTCTTTAGAAGGCCAGATCCTGAAGTTGAAACTCAAGTACTTTGGCCACCTAATGAGAAGGAAGGACTCACTAGAGAAGAGCCTGATGCTGGGAAAGATTGAGGGCAACAGAAGAAGGGGACGACAGAGAATGAGGTGGCTGGATGGAGTCACTGAAGCAGTAGGCGTGAGCTTAAATGGACTCTAGAAGATGGTAGAGGACAGGAAGGCCTGGAGGAATGTTGTCCATGGGGTCGCGATGGGTTGGACACGACTTCGCAACTAACAACAACAACAATGGTGTTTGTTGACTATAGTTCAGTTTATCCTGTGAACAATGAAAATTGAACTAACTATGGCAAAACATACGATGCAAATACGATCTTTAGGTAAGAAACTGGAAAGTATCCTAGAAGATGAAATATAGTAATTTTGACCTTTTCCCCATTTTGTAGATGGAATTAGCGTGAGCGGTCTTCCACTTTCCAGTCCCTTTCGACAAGTGATAAAGCCGCGTATGGAAAATAAACCTATAAATCCACAGGAAGCCACTAAAGTTGGTGACTTCAGTCACATAAAGGTAGGTGATCAGTCCTGCTGTAATGAGTTTTGCAACTTATATTAAATCAGGAGTGGACAGTTGATTTTCCCAAGGGATCACACAAGAAACTGAGATTGTGAAGGACTGCCGCCACCCCATTCCTGCCCCCTCATCAGTGGTAGGATTCAAATACCTGAACATCCAGTTCTCTGCGTGGATGCAGGCCTGGGCCTCCGAGGCCTAGAACGGACTTCCGGAAGTGACATCCATGCACTTCTGGTGGGCCGTTCTAGGCCTGGGAGGCCTCCACTAGGCCTAGACCAGACTTCCGGAAGTGACATCCATGCACTTCCGGAGGCCGTTCTAGGCCTGGGAGACCTCCAGGCCTCCGAGGCCTAGAACCGACTTCCAGAAGCAGCATGAGTTCAGCCGGTTGTCCAAACTCAACAAAATTTAGCTACCGGTTCTACTGAACCGGTGCAAACCGGCTGAATCCCACCACTGCCCCTCATCCCCTGCCCCCTGCCCCTGCCCTCCCGCCGCTGCCCCTTGTCCCCCACCGCCAACACCGCAGGCCGGAAAGAGACAGCTGGAGGGCCAGATATGGCCCACAGGCCATAAAATGCCAAGGTCTGTATTAAATGCTTTCTGCTACAGTGCAATTTGTGTGCAATAGAAAAGAAAACATTTAGCTCAGGGTTGAACTGTGAAGTTCTTGGTACTCTCTGATGGTGGTTATTTGCTTGCAGATATCTCATTATTCAACTAGGTAACATCATCAGGCCCAGTGGGTGTGGGGTTTGCTGCTTGTTTGTATTTATTTATGTATTCAAATTTATACAGCCATAATCTGGGTATTGATCCCTGTTCATCTGAGTATTGGAGGGAATGTATTTTACTCTTTTTGCTCCCTTCCTTTGATTGTTATTGTCTTTTTTGCAATGATGTGTAAATGTGATTTATATCTATGTGTCCCTTGATAGCTGATTTGTTTGAATGCCAAACTTCGGGAATTCCCTAGCATTTTTGAATGTGGCTTGATCTCTGCATCTGAATATCAAGCTTCTTTAGAAGAACTTGTGTACGTTCTTTAGGTCATAAATGAAATAACATATTAAATTGTCCAAACAAAGGTGGGTTCTCCCATAAGGCTGGGAAAGGAACCCTTGCAATATTCTAGCAGGCATTTATACTTTACTAGTTAAGTATTAGCTATTTGACATGCCTCAAACATCTGTCTCCAAATTCACACAATTTAACATAGGAACTTTTTATAGAAATTACTTATGTCAGCCTGACCTACAAATTAATTCAAGTATATATTCATTTTCTTTAACATCTTTTACAGCTAACCAAGTCATAAATGAATATATTTGTAGAGCAGTTAAAATTTGGACATATCTGGTATATCTCAGTAAAAGATACTCCATTGTTATTTTAATTTATAGTGCTGCTACAGAAATAGCAAAAACATCATTGGAAATGGTTTTTTATGTTGGAATTTCCATGACAGGTCAGGAGTAGAACACAGGTGGAGCATGAATGTATGAAACTTGCCATAGGAAAGCAATCTTGGAAAAGAGGATTCTTTCTTTCTTTCTTTCTTTCTTTCTTTCTTTCTTTCTTTCTTTCTTTCTTTCTTTCTTTCTTTCTTTCTTTCTTTCTTTCTTTCTTTCTTTCTTTCTTTCTTTCTTTCTTTCTTTCTTTCTTTCTTTCTTTCTTTCTCTGTGAAATTTAAATGTATTAAATCTAATAAACTCTTTAAATGCCCCAGAAGAGGCATGCTACGGGGGCCAAAGAACTTTGGCTGGCCCTGGATCCAGGAGAAGAGCCTTTTCTGCTTTGGCTTTCACTCCCTGGAACATCATGGTAGAGCTGTGGTGGCGCAGTGGTCAGAATGCCGTATTGCAGGCTAATTCTGCTGACTGCCAGCAGTTCGATTCTCACCGGTTCAAGGTAGACTCAGCCTTCCATCCTTCTCAAGTCGGTAAAATGAGGATCCGGATTGTTGGGGGCAATAGGCTGACTCTATAAACCACTTAGAGAGGGCTGTAAAACACTGTGAAGCGGTATATAAGTCTTATTGCTTATTCTATTCTATTCTATTCTATTCCTTTTCTATTTTCTATTTTCTATTTTCTATTTTCTATTTTCTATTTTCTATTTTCTATTTTCTATTCTGTTCTGTTCCGTTCCGTTCCGTCTTCTCTTCTCTTCTCTTCTCTTCTCTTCTCTTCTCTTCTCTTCTCTTCTCTTCTCTTCTCTTCTTTTCCCTTCCCTTCCCTTCCCTTCCATTCCATTCCATTCCATTCCATTCCATTCCATTCTACTTGGTGACACACTGATTAGAATGCAGTATTGCAGGCGAATTCTGCTGACTGCCAGCAGTTTGATTCTCACCGACTCAAGGTTGACTCAGCCTTTCATCCTTCTGAGGTCGGTAAAATGAAGACCCAGATTGTTGGGGGTCAACATGCTGACTCTGTAAACCACTTAGAGAAGGCTGTAAAGCCCTGTGAAGCAGTGTATAAATCCTATAGCTTTGGTTACCCTGCTCCTCAAGCTGACAACCACCCCCACCCTTTTGATCTTCCAAAAAAGCCTCGAAATCTGACTTTGCCGATTGGACGGCGGCCAGAATGCCGGCGCTTAATAGAACGAGAAGACGATTCCACCTCCTGCCTATGTATTGCTTTCCTATTTTGGGCCAGTTCTTGTTCATTTTTAATGTTCTTCTTTTGAACGCTTTCTTCACCTTTTAATATTTTAACATTCCTCCTTTGACGCTGTCGCAAGCCGCCCAGTTTCGCTCCGACCCGTGAGAGGGCGGCCGTACAATTTGTCATAAACAAATAAAATCGATTGACGTCCCTTAGGGAACCGGGCTTTAGCTCATAACGTTTAATCAGCCGGGACGTCTCGCCCGCCACTTGCCTTTTTCCTCCCTATCGCATCTGCCCGCCTTGCGCCGCGTAGGGGGAGCCTCGGCGGGGAGAGGTCAGAGCAGTATCCTCCCGCCTGTCTCGCCTGCGCCGTCGATGTTCATTTTGAACGACACGAAAGGGAGGAATTGAAATTCACCCCGGGTAGGCACGAGAGGAGTGCTTCTGAGGCCAAGTGCTCAAACGCAGCCTTGTCGGACTATTTTTAGAGCGCTGCTGTCGATCCGGCGCTGTTTAAAGATTCAGCTGAGATTGCTAATAGGGGTATTTATATCCACTCTGTCAGTTGCCACACGCCGCATAAAACTCCCTCCAAGGGGATAATTCTATTCCCGGACACCCTGCCACGGTGACTCTGGCTCTCTGCATTTAAAGACACCTTCTACCTCCGTATATACTTTCCTGAAACATACAGTTCCATATATGTATGTATGTATGTATGTATGTATGTTTGTTTGTTTGTTTTCGTAGATATATATTCAAAAATCCCTGAAGGGTGTGACTAGCTGATGGGGGCAAATGAGCCTGAAATAGCTATACTAGTCTCCCAATAACTCTTTGTCAGCCACAAAATGTTGAATTTATAGTGTTCACAGTATGTGAGGTCTGCCTGCAAAACATGCTCCTAGATTGGAGAGAAACGCAGAAAAGACTGATTTATATTTGGTAGACCGGGTGCCTCACCCAACAGATAAGATACACACACACATACACACACACACACACATTAACTTTACGGGCAAATAACCCACTTAGCGATTTAAGGCAGGAGTCCATCAGCCAGTTAAAGCTGTCTGGCTTTTTCAAAGAGTTTCTCCTGTCAATGTAAAACCTAAACTAAAAGTAGAACGCTTTGAGTTATTTATGGATAGCGTTGTAGATTTTTTTTTTCCTTTTTCTTTTTCCAGAGCTAGAATTTTTATTTGTTTGCCAATTTGGGGGGGGGGGAAGGAAGCCCCACTGTTGCTAGGAAACAGATATTTCAGAAAGTGAGCTTGGGCAGGCAGTTGCCATAGCATTGCACTCACCAAGCAAATACAGCGTCTCTCTTTATTGCTTCCCCAGATGGGCTGGGCGTGTGTGTATTTAGATAGGATTGTGTGTGTGAGGGGGGGGGATTTGAATTTTGCTCAGCACTGTGGTGGTAACTGTGTGGAGCTTGGGTACCTGGGGTGAGACTTATAATAATAATAATAATAAAGTTGGAAGAGACCTTGGAGGTCATCGAGTCCAACCCCCTGCTCAGGCAGGAAACCCTACACCATTTTTGACAAATGGCTGTCCAGTCTCTTCTTAAAAACTTCCACTATTGGAGCATTCACATACTCCTGGAAAACAGTTGCACTTTGATGCATTGAGCTCCCATCAGAATAGAGCTGGAAGGGACCTTGGAGGTCTTCTAGTCCAACCCCCTGCTCAAGCTAGAAGGTCTTCAAACATCTTTTTTAACCTACTTTTCTTTTTTTTTCAATCAATCAGTCAATCAATTAGAATAAAGCTGGAAGGGACCTCATTGGAGGTCATCTAGTCCAACCCCCTGCTCAAGCAGGAGACCCTATACCATTTCAGATAGGTGGCTGACCCCCCCTATTCTTTGTGGCAGCCCCTCAAATACTCAAGTCTGCTATTATGTCCCCCCTAGTCCTTCTTTTGTCTAGACTGGCCATACCCAATTCCTGCAATCGTTCATCATATGCTTTAGTCTCTAGGCTTAAGTTAGTTTTGAATATGTAGTTAGTTAGTATTTATTTAGTACATTTAATATATAGGTTGCAAACATGTGGAAGAGGCCTTCATCCTGCAGTGCATAGACAGTGGCTAAAACGAAGTTAGTTTTGATTTGATGTCGTTAGTAAATGAGAACCACCACAGTCATAATGCCTCAAATGGAGACTCTGCATTGGTTGCCAATAAGTTTCTGAGTCCAATTCAAAATGTTTATTTTAACCTATGAAGCCTACATGGCTTGTCTCCTGGCATATGTAAAATTCCCTTTTCCACCTCGACACAAAAATTACGTACTGCCCAGAAAAATCTGTTAGCAGCCCTCAGGACCAAGAGATGAAGGAAGCAAATCCTAAGCATTTTGAAGTAAGA